ACACACACACACACACACAAACACGTATACAAACTACACTTGCGTGGACATCTGCTACTTATGGTTATGCTCTAATGTAGTACAGTTTTACTTTCCCACAGAGGTTCCAACCACAAACAACATGTCACAGCTAAAAAAAATGTTGGACCACAGGCAGATATGTCACATGACCAGTGTTTTACTGGGTGTGTTTGTTTGTCATTTGAAACTGGGCACAGGTGACACGCAGGGTCATTGCAGCATCCCACGCTCATGTCAACCAGTGCACCCATCCCTTCTCTGTCAGCACAAAGCCTTCTGTCTTTCTAAACATGTTGCCAACAACCTGTCATCTGGTTTGCTCAACACATAATTCAGATGGCTGACTTATGAAAGTCATCACCGCATAAAATGCCATCAAAACAAACTCTGAACAGATTTGATCTTGAAAAAACAACAACACAGCTACGGGGTTTCAGTGCCACATTGATAAGGAGTCAGAGGCATCTTCAATAATTTTAATTAGCATTTTAAAACAAAATTGATCCCACTCATACAAAACAGTGTCTTCCCTTAATTATCTAGACTGTGGCGGTCTGCCAAATTCTAATTTCACCCCCCACAGCTTCATAATGAGCCAAAGAAAACATAATAACACAAGACATCTCCAAGTTAGTGTTTAGCTCCACCGATTGAGAGCTATCTGCAATGCTGTTTGCCTTGTGCTTGTTCAGTCACCCCCTCTTGCAAAGTCTCTTTCGTCCATTATGTTTTTATTGTCCCAGTAGACAGCCAGACCTCATAGCTTCAGCTGTTTGCTTACCCTGGAGTGGGAGTTCTCTCACACAGGAGTGAACTTCTTTTTCACTTCCATGTACTTGTCACTCAGGCTCTGTTGCACTTGAGAGCGAACAGCATGTGTGCAGGTGTACACCTTGTGACACCTTCAGTTCAGTTCATTTTAACCAAGCTTGCCACTTTGTGCAGGCACAGTCAGGAAAATAACTTTATTTGTGAGGCACAGAATTTGAGGTATCTACTAGTTGCTTTGCTTCAACTGTGTCGAGAGGATGAATTTGGCCAAAGAAAATGTATTGAAGCGTCACTCTCTTTTCATGGACCGACAATGAAGTGGAACTGATACTGACTTTAAGTGTGTACAACTTTTTAGCTTCACTGTTAGCAGTCTAGTCATGACTGACATTGATTGATCATTGATAACAAGCACACAATCAGTGATGCGTTTTAAAACCAAAACATAGCAGTGTGGATGTAGCCAGGGGCAGAAAAAGTTTCAATCAGTGTGTGTACGGAGGGAGAATATGTTTTCAAGCTCTGCCAAACTGCCTTAGAAACCTGGCTTAACTGGTGATGGCAAAATCTGGACAATGCACATGGACAGGAGGCTGTAAGGACCTGAAAAGCCTAGGAACCTTGCTTAGATATTCAACCAAATGATCATCTGATGGTGCCATCCTCAGATCCCTGTGCTATCAATGGAAGAGCTAAGAATACATCCTCCTTTAGAGACATTTTAGTTGTGGGACATTAAAGCAGCCATTACCCAACTGACTTCACTTTGAAGATGGTTTGAAGCTATTTCTCCACATTACAAATCATCAGTGCGGAGCTAAATGAGTCACAAGCATCTCGGACCAACCCAAATCAACCATATTAGCCACGTTGGCTTCTCTGACCTGGAAACAATCACCGGCCTCAAGTTTCATTTATGTTTGATTGAGTTGAGCCAGGTTATTATTTGAGTCCACATTTTTGCAGGCTGACAACAGTATGTGGGTGTGTCTGCCCCCCACCAGCCCACCCCGAGGCTATTCTCACTCTGTCTCACACCCTTCTGAAGGCCTTGACATATGTGGTGCATTTGACGGGATTCATGAAGTAACTCTTGCGGATTGCTTTCAGACGAGATGGGACTGAGTGGTTAAGTTATTTTATGGGAGATAGCACTTGGGATTTGAAAGACAATACTCAGTAACTGACCCAATTATTTCACAATCAGCTAAACAAGCCCAGCAACTGCACAGCCAATCGTAGGAAGAGTTACAACCACAGAGCTACAGATCTTCAACAGTAACAGAGAAAGAAAAGTCATCAGTTCCCATTTTCAGTCTCTTCACATACTGACAAGAAGAGGTCATAGGTCAACCGTGCTCCAAATAGGCCTGGCTGTGAAGACTTTCAGTGATAAAGAGTCAACAAGCACTCACACATGCATGCACACACACGACAGAAGATAACTGGAATCTGCAGCTTTGGCTTTAAGAGCTAATAAACCACTGACCTGTTGTAGGTCTGGTTTCTGTTTGAAAGACATAAACACACAATTGTCAATTAAAAGAAATGGGCCTACCACTCAATTAAAGGCTTTGTCTAGCAACAACATGTCTTTTAGTTTGTGACTGGGAATCTCAGAAAAGAAAGAGCTACTCATTTGACCTCACAACATAAAATCTACAGACAGGAATGTTGAGAAAAAGAGCATTATTAGAACTTCAGCCCATTTTCCACTGGTCAAAAAACAACCTACCTTAACACCCACCAACATCTGGATTTTGTCTGCAATGGAAATGGGTACAATATTCACATGACTCTGCAGTAGACGCAGGTTTTCAATCAGCTTTTTATGTCTTTATTTTGGCAGCACTGACCCTGCACCTTTTCCAGCACGTTATGACCTGCATTGAACTTACGACCGTTGGCGCGTTAAATTACACAAATTTTGGTTTAAAGCGGTTAGTTAAAGGCAATGGACGTCAAACTGAATTTTGCTTAAGTTATGTTGTGTAATTGAATTATTAATACTGCTCATATCGCTTAACCGTGTAAGCCATTAATTCTGTAAGAGATGCTAAATAAACATACCTTGCACGTACAAGCCACCCCTCCCATACAGACACAAAATCTCAGACACACAAACAGCCTGAGAACCAATCTGTGCCAAACTACAGTTTCCGTCTGCATTTTTTTGGGCCTTAAATAGACCATGTCTTGTCCAAAAAAACAAGTCTGCTTCTATCCAGAGATAAGATAGAGATGATGTCATTGCTGCGGCTCATTCACTAGAGTCAGAGCTCCACTCAGTTCCCACAGACACACATGTCGTGTTGTTTCCTTCCTGGCTGCCTTTGTGGACTTTGCTGACTAGATCCACTTAAAACAGTACAAAAAGACTGGACCACAGAAACACATGGTTTTAATGGCTTGCAGTCCAAAGACAAAGACAGCCACACCTAGGAAAAGAGGGACAGTTTCACAAGCCACACAGCCAAACTTCACACAGCTATAATGTGAAAGAACACAAGTTAGATCGTGCTGCCTGCAATGAAGTGTGATGCAGGCTTGTAATGTAAAGCAGTGTCTCAGATGTGAATACAAGGCCCAGCATGCTTGGTTGCAGGGATAACTACAGCATGTCAGTACCAATACCTCCTTCCTCTCAGTGCGAGTCGGATTACCACAATCACTGCAAGGGGAAAAACAGTCCAGTATTATAACATAGGAAAATTAGGCTTATATTTAAACAAGGATCAAGCAATATTAAATGCAGACACTTCTGTCTACATTTTGATATTAGGTTTTATTTTAATGTAATTTGCCACAGGGAGAGACATGGAGGGCCTTGTTTTAAGTGATCTGAGCAGGCAGGCTTCCTGCAAACTAATACTGCACTGGGAGGTAGAAAACACACACACAGCCTGGGGATGATTACTTTGCCATCCAGCCAATTGCACGGTGTAGAAGTGGACGCCGATATTTCACACTGTTCAATGACAGGCTGTGTGGTCGGACGGGTTCGACTCTGAAACCCCCACATCCTGCCTTGACTGAGTGATTCACACAGACCGAGACCTGCGAGGATCTGCTGCAGCGCCGCCTCGTTCAGCATTCAGAGAGCATTCAGCCCGTCAACAGAAAACTGGGACACACACACACACACACACACACACACACACACAGACACACACAGACACACACACACACAGAGAGAAGGAACACTACAGTGTTACTGAATGACATGGCAGTCCGCTGCTAAGCTAATGTTTTCTCAGTGGAGGAGGGCGGGTTGCTGAGGTTAGCTTGTTGAAATCTGACAGGTGAGTGAGTTGCAGTCAGCGCCAGTCATGAATACACGATGAGGCGCCTCCCTGGCCTTCGTCTCTGGGACTTACAAACATGTCTGAAGATAAGCTCGAGTCTAATGCTCGCTGTACACGCTCCTCTCCCCCGGGCCCTGGCGTGTTGTGTCCCTGTCACATCACGAACGCTCCTCGACAACAGCCTCCTCACATTTTCGCCAGAAAGCTCGGCTTAGCTAACACGGGCTAACATGCTAAAAACAAGACAGCGCCGCCCCGGGGAGTCGGGTCTTACCGAAGTGCGAGGACTTGAAACCCGAATCCGCCCGAGCTCTGGTTCACAGCGACGTGTCCATGGCCGTCCGCTGAGCTGCTGCACTTGTTTTTCTTCTCCCCAGCTCCGAGATTGAAGTTTATTTCACGGAGTAAAATGGCTGCGACTGGGTCTAGGTTCGGATGCACAGTGACGTCATGACGCTGCCGGACAGGAAGCGTCGAGGGGGCGTGTCAGAGGGCAGGGATCACTGTCCTCTGAACTGATCAGAATTGATCCTAAACTGTATAAAAATATTATTTTAATCCTTTAAGTCTATTTTTATGAATGCTTTGGTTGATATTATATTATCTTTATACATCAAAAAAGCCCCGGCCACCTATCTATTTACCCATTCATTTCTTTTCTGTAAAAATTTGACTTATGCTCATAGCACATCCTGTGCTTGCAAAAGAAAATATATAAAGAGCTCTACAGACAAAGTAAAACATGATTACTCGTGTTCTCAACTGACTGCAGAGTAACTTACCATGATGAACGTTGAAATCACAAAAGCAACAGCAGTAAGAGAGGTTCTGTTTGAACTGTCATTTCTTACTTTTAGAATATTTATATTTTCATACTGTCTTCTTAAATTCCATTGAACATGACTTTAGAACGTACTACACAAGATAGAAGTAGAGAAAATATAATTACAGAAGAGTTTTTAAGCTTTAAGAGAAATCCAACTTGTGAATGAAAATGCATGAAATATATATTTTACTTTACTTATGAGTTGTCACTGGAAAATTGTATATTATTATTTTAGATTTGTCCGATTACATTTTGCTGCAAAATTTCCTCAGAGAAGCACTATTCATTTTCGTACTGCCATCCTTGTCTTTTAATTATTTCAAATCTAACCAGGGGCATTGTCGTCCATTCAAATACAAGTGCAAAAAATAATCACATCTAATTTTGATTGTGCTGTATCCTTTGAGGTTATAAAAGCTTTTCTGTCCAGTCCAAAGTTTTATTTTAAAATGACAGGTTCCTAAAAATTACAACATTCATCAATATTTTATTTATCCAAAAATACCTTTTTTATTATTTTAAGAATATGATAAAAGTTTCACAGCTTGCATATATTTACAGAGTAGTTTCCAAAATACAAGAGAGAAACCTGCATTATTTGATTCATTCTGCACATTAATATTATCTGCTGTAATTTATCTTTCATCCAGCTTTAAAATGCAAAAACAATCCTGGTGTTAACATACATGTTATTCCTATGATGTCTTTTTTGCCCTCTGCACGGGAGCAGGAACATCAGCAACATTATGCAGAAACTCATACAGTAACTTACCATTGTTCGCATTTCCCAGTATTTCCGCGAGCTTGTCCTTGCTGAGTTTGGCTAAATCTGCCAGGCTGTCTGCATTTCTTATCAGGGCCCTATAGTTTTTTGTATTGACCCCAGGCATTTTCAACAGGAAGTCATAAGGTCCTGGGTTGTAGAGCCCTGCTGATTCAGCCACTATGTCCGACTCGGCCGTGACTGCCTGAGCTGCTGCAGCATCGGGTTCCAGGCGGCCTTGCTTCAGCTCCAGGAAGAGGTCAGCTGTGACATGTGGGGAGGGACACCATAGTATTCGCAGGCGGGGGAAATGCAAAGTGAGTAAGGTGAGCTTTGACGAAATGTCATTAGATGAGATCTCATGGCGGAAATCTGATCGAGCCATTAAGGAAAACGGTTTAGCTGGGTCAAACTCAATGAGCAGCACTGGCTTTTTGTAATAACGGGTCATGGAGAGACACTGGGTGTAGAGACGGCCGCTCTGCAAAGAGCCAATCAGATCACTGATGCTCTTGCGCTCCACGCATGTGTCCGGGGTAAGGATGTAGTCCCCGACTTCTAGGGTGACAGGCTCAATGTCCAGCCCACGGCGGTGCAGCAAGGAAGGGAGTTCACTGCGGAACTCACGCATGTCCACAATTACTCGTGAGGGCTCTTTGGACTGCTCCTGGCCTCCTGGTCATTGGACACGAAATGGAGAAAATAATAAAACACTTATTCCAGAAAATCTAAATACATTTATTTTACAACATTTGATTTCATTTAAGAAAATTCAGTGTATTTGATGTGTAGGCCGGCGACAGTGCAGTGTAGTGTGGAACATGACTTGGGTACCATTAGGCAATAAGGATCCCAGATTTTAAAAGGTAAAATGTCTTAAAAAGAATATCTGATTTATTGAATGGCCGTAAAGTCAGTTCAAGTTCAAGTTTGCTGTCTGTTGTAGTTGGAAATGTTCTAAAACTTTATATGAAATGTTGTTGTCCATTAAAATCAATGATTTTTGTGCAGTCATCATTATAAACACTTTGTCTCAGCACCACGATTTCTGAATGACTTACATCTTCCCTGAGAAATGTAGAGAACTGAAACAGTCATACCTGCTTTGCGGGTGTTGGTGGTGGCGTTGGCAGGCTCTAAATTTCTGGCAAGATCTAGGTTGGTGTCTTCTCGTCCCTCCCTCTCCTCTGGTATGACCATGGTAGCTTTTTCCCTGCAGTATTACACACACAAGCACCAATGACGATCGATGAACCTTTGGAACAACCTAAATCAATGAATATAATAAAGGTGTTCTGACCTGATGAGGTGTTCAAATGCTTTCTTTTCCCGAGACAGCGCTGTGAGGTACTTCTGTTCTTCTGTCGACCCTCCATAGATGAGGAAATACACCCTGAGTGCTTTTCCAGGCCGAGTGGCTTTGTAGATCTCAAGTTGTCGCACAAAACTCACTTCAGCATCGTAGAGCACCACAAAACTGGGATCCACCTCGTGCAGCACCCGCGTCAAGCTGTGGGGGTCAGTGCAGCCTTTAAGTGGGTGGATGACAGTCAGCGGCTCCTTCAGGACACCATAGTAAGCGTCAGATGACAAATCCAACTTCAGTCGCCCTTCCTCGCCTTCTTCGTCATCCATCAATTCCTCCTCATCTCCGCTGCTGCCCATTGCTGCTGCCTCCGCCGTCTCCTCCTTCCCGACCATCTGGGTCAGGGTCAGAGATGGTCGGCTTTTACTCTTCGTGGACTTTGAGTTTTTTTTCTGAGCAGGCTCTTTCCCCTTGGTTCCTCTTTTGGGCCAGCCTTTGCTCTTTTTGTGAGAGTCGAGCTCCAGGGCAGCGGCAGCAGCAGGGTCCCGTTTACCGATTGTGCGAGCATATAGTCTGTTGAGCAGCCAATCAGAGCCGCGCCTGATGTACTGCTGCAGCTGGGCACAAGTTCGGTCATCACTGGCACAGATCAGTACGCGACCTGTAGGCAACATGTTGGTTAGTTAGACGGATAGACTGTACAAGACAGATTTCAACAGGCCCATTTTATGGTGGATATTTGGAATTGTTAAACATATCTGTTAGGATTTAACTTATTTGAATAGACAATTCCATTGTCATTGCCCTGATTTTTTATCAATTAAAGGTACAGTGTGTAGAATTTTGTGATATCAAGTGTTGACATTGCAACATGCAATGTCAACACTAGATATCACCCTCTCCTTCCAAACATGAAAAAGAATCTCTGGTAGCCTTAAATTGTCATAAAAACTCAAAAGATGTTTAGTTTGTCCAGTTTGGACTAATGTAAAAAACATGGCGGCCTCCGTAGAGAGGGTCCCCTCGATGTAAATATAAAATATTTGAATATAAAGGGCCTTTTCTGGGGTAAAGATAACTAGATAAATGTTTCTGTTGCTTGTTGCAGGTCCAGCTTCCAAGTAAACTGGACTTGTATTTACTAATTGAGACATTACATTGATGGTATACTTAACATGAATTTAGATTAAGCTGTAATATTCAATATTATCATGTCATTAATAGTAGTAGTAATTAGAACTATTACCTGGTTCATGTTGAGAGCTCTTGTTCTCTCTCTCAATCTCCTGCAGCACCTCAGTTAGAGCCTCCCACTTTGGGCTCTTCTCCAGCACCAGGTCTCTTTTCACCTCTGAAACATACACACACGCACGCACGCACACATGAAGCATTAACTCAACAGATATCTACTCTGAAGAGCACATTGTCTGAGTGTTCACGTGTCCGTCACCTGAGGTCGAGGATAACTTCACTTTCTCAGCCTCTGCCCCCACCTTGAGTTTCTTCTTGCTCTCACTCATGCGGTATACACGACCCCTGGCATTCACAAACATGGAAGTGCTCGAGTCGAGGAACAGCCACCCTGATACAACAATAAACTCATGCAATCAAACAGGGATAACAGAGACGCGTCATGGATTTAACACTTAAACTAAATACTCCAAGCGGGGTAAATATACGTAGTTTACCTGAATTGGAGCCAAAGATCTTTTGGCTGGAGCGAAGCGACTCAAGCAGATTGAGGAAGGTGACACAGTCGTACTGTGTGAGGTAGAGCAAAAGAACTCTCAACACCTTCAGGTCTTGGACCAGGGCCTTGGTCTTGGCTCCCAGTTGGTGCCACAGGGGGTCCAGGTAATGTCGAATGGTCTGGGGGGGAGTTAAAGAAGGTTAAAGTCAGACGATTAAGTTCAACCACTTGTGTAGATTTGAATTAAATTCACTATATTGGCCGGAGTTTATTTTGGTGCCGAGGCAGGTTAATGTGTCATATTTTAGTAACAGACCTTTTCAAACGCATTTCCAAGTGTGTTCTCCAGTGAGAGGTCCTCAGCCTCCAGTGTAGGGTTGTAGCGTTTCAGCTCCTTCAGACAGGCGCTCATTATGTCAAGGATGGAGCTCTGAATGGCCCTCATAGCCGGTGTCAGTGACACATGGAGCTCCACCACCTCTGGTTTATGCCTTTCCAGTGCTGTGTTTACTGATGCCTGGAACCTGTTGAATGATGCCGGTAAATAGAGAAAAGGTAAAGGAGGCTGACGCGAATCACTCCCCTGCCCTGCTATGACATGTTAAATATTTGTCTCACCATACCTGGGCCACAGATAGAGCTTCTTGACGAAGAGGTTCCTCATCACACGCTCCACCTGGCAGAAGCCCGAGGAGAACGCTGTGGCCTTATCAGTGAAGGCCTTGATGAATCCTGTCTTGTTCTTCTGTCTGAACAGACGAAGGATGAAGGCCTCCTGACAAGACTCGATGATTTTATGGGCACGGTACACCAGGATGCCTGAAGCATAAAGCAAGAGA